ACGGAAACATATCAAATTTGCGATTTTGAGCAATACGATTTTTCCAAAGCAAAAGCTTTTTCTGGAAAGCTAGCAATTTGTCTGTGGATGTCAGAATATTTTCATTTTTTCCTTGAAGAGATGTATTGACTGAATTTAAGTAGCTGAAGATATCGGCTAAATATGCTAGCTTAGTACACCATGCATCATTTTCCAAATATTTTACGTATACATCATTACCCTCTTGTCTAAAAAAAACTAGCAATTCCTGTTTCAACTCATGAACTCGGGTTAGCACTTTTCCTCTTGAGAGCCACCTCACTTCAGAGTGCAAAAGCAAACATTCATATTTGGATTCCATGGTGTTACAAAGTTGTTTGTTGTTTTTATAAGAAGCGATTTGCGCTTTATCCGAAATTGTAACGGTCTTTCGAAAGCATGTTGCTTGCACTTCTTGATTTTTCAGCAATCTTTCGAAATAATCTTTACCTTTCGAAGTTAGACAAGAATGTTTTGTTGAAAGGTGTCGCTGTAACTTAGCTGGGACCATTGCACTGTTAGCCAATTTTTCACCACAAACAATACATCTCGGAATAGGAACATCTTGACTACCGCTCCATGTAAAACCAAACTTCAGATATTCTTCCGAATAATGCCGAACTGATTCGGATATCTTTTTACGTTTATTTTCGACATTTTTGTTGCCTTGCATATCTCCTTCAATTGAAGAAGACCTGCTTGTACTCGCCCCAACATTAACCTCACTTTCAGTCTTTCTTTTCAAAAATTTGTCCATATTTCAGATTTAAAAGTCTTGTATAAATGCTAAAATAAGCAACTAAAAAAGATAAGAATACTGTTAAAACTACACAACTTGCATTTCATCTTACCAATTTCCAACAATATAAAATATATATATACAATAAAAAACACACTCACGAAAACTCGATATTTATATTAAATTATGGCTGAACCGCAGATCGAAATTGCGCTTTTGTTATTTACGTACGAAGAAAGAGAAACAGCACGAAATCAACACTACGTAGCGCTCCCTGCGTTATCGAGTACACTAGAAATTTAGTGGTATTCCCCGGAGTAACTCCAAACGACGTAACTGCGTCGTTCGATAATTACACTGTTAATATTATTGACTGTTCCGCGAAAATTTAGAATAATATTGAATATTTTTGCTAAATTTCAAATAATTAACAAAACTATGTAGTATTTATTTTATAGTAATAAAAAAATTTGCTGTTTCTTATTATATTATATTCAAAATTTTCGCGGAACACCTGGGACAGCTTCGCGGAACACCAGTGTTCCGCGGAAGGGCGGTTGAGAACCATTGGCGTAGAGCATTACGCCACATATTGGAAGGCGCTCTCGCTCGGTCAACCTTGCAATTACTATTATATTTGTAGTAGCAGAAAATAGGAAAACCTGGGAACTAACAACAACTAAAACAACATAATGACTTCGTATATACTGTTCGTTTGTACGAAAATATAATGCTAAAACGTGCCGCAAGCTTATAGTTGTTGCCTGCCCTAGCCTATATCCACTGTTGATTTAACATCTTCATAAATGCATCTTTCTCTTCGTTCCAAGATGTTAAATTTGACTTCCATTTAGCAGCTCGATGAGAATAACTAAAGTGATAGGGTGCAAATATTAAACACACGTTTGTGTCTTTCTCTATCCTCTGCTCTCTCTTCCTCTATCTCTCTGTCCTGATACGACCGAAAATCTTCGTCCCGTGAAAATTCATTTGAAGAATAAGAAACCGGTGTAACGCTTTCTTAACAAATCGATAACAATTTTAGCACATCAATTTTGCGCGTCTCTTCATTGTTGGGAAATATTAGCCATCATTCGCTTGATGTGCGTCATTATGCGCGAGAAAAGAAATAATTTTCCTTATTCGAGACGAGGCGGCAGGTGTCTGCCGTACTAGCTAATGTTAATAATATAAAATATTATCGCCCTGCCATGTTGCATACAACTTTTGCCTTCTATTGTTGGGAATATAATCACCAACGTGATTGGTTCGTTCAATCTTTAAAGTTAAGGTGTTCAGGGCCGAACTGAGCTGCAGAAGTAACGCCCATTTATTGATTTTAACTACTTGCACCAAATATTTTGCTGACCTGAGGAAGTTGATTTGATTTTCAAAGTTTTACAATCAAAAGTACTAAAAACGAACAACTGAAAAATTGTTCTCAAGCTTAACCAGCTATGAAGATGAGCCAATTTTCGGACCATTTAATAGGGTAGCTTTGGTATTTATAAAAAACAGTCATCAAATCAAATTGTGGACTCTTGTCTATAAGAACTTTAAACTCTGCAAGGGATACAAGGCAAAACTATCCCCTAACTGTTGGTTAATAGGGAGCAATTATTGGAAAACATTAGAGAGGAATTTGAGAAAACGTCGGGAAATATAAGAAAATCTTACGAAAATATTGGAGGACAGAGAAAAAATATTTGTGTGAATATTAAAAGTTAGTTTTTTCATGTACATCCACTTAAACGTAAGTTGATTTCGCAATTTCGTCGCGAATTTGCCGCATATCCCCTCCTCTTTGACGTAAGCATTGGCAATTGTTCGCTAACTCCTCTCTTGCCGTTACAAACTTTAAGGGATGTCGATTAATCACTTGGCAATAAAAGCAAGTTCCTTCTTTTCCTCGTCGTCGCCCGGGTTAAAACAATGGAAAAGCAATCGATCGTTATCGGCGGCCATAAAAAAAAATTTCAACACTCGTAACAACGGCGGAGGTAGGGTAAGTATAAGGCCGCCTTCACACACCCGATGATGTTCACATAAAATAATTTTAGTAGATATTTTTACGTCGTTTAGACGATATATTTTTGGGTTGTTGTTCCTAAGAAGGAAATATTAAAAGAGAAAACCCCAGAGGCGATTTTGGGTAAAGTCCGTTCATAGATATAAGAAAGTGACTAACTGATACGAATTAAGGAAAGACACGGCCAAGCTACTTAAATTACTTAAAATTATTCACATAATATATCAGTATCACTATTGCTATCATCGCCTGTTCTAATTATTATTTATTCTATATTATTTGCAATATGGATATACGATTGTTCTGCTTTTTCTATATGTTTAACAGCACATTTCAGATGGTGCCAAACATGTTCAATGGGATTAAATATACAGTGGCGGGAGCGCCTCCTGAGATACACTAGACTCGTACATACTTTGCCTAATTCGCACACGATACAACACACGCTGTATTACACACGAAATAAGAATTATTACTAATAAACTTAAACTAAGTAGTATACCAAACCAAAGAATATTAAATACAGGGAGGTACAAACTTATTTTCTGTTACGGACCACAATTTTACCTTAATTTAAATTCCGAAACTTTAGGTAATAATCTTGTGCACATTCGTATAATCCAACATTGAAATCGACAAATCGGAAACCGACTTCTGCTGTCGAAACAGCAAATTTGATGAATCGAAATTCGTGTGAAAGAATCAATTTAATTATATTGAAACCGGCGGCGGTGTCAGTACCGGCATCGGCTTTACCGGTGTGTGTGAAAGCGGCCTAAGGCATAGGCGCGGCAAAAAAAGAACGTCTCGCATAAACCTCGACAAAGTACGCCGCTAATCTGAATCAATGAAACAAGTTTAAGGCGCCGGGGAAATCAAATTTATCAAAGTTTTCACTCTCCCGGGGCGAGGACAGGTATAACGGCGAAGAAACTTCAGGGGCTTCTGGGGAGCGCTTCTCGAATATCTCGATAACCGCCATTTAAGTGTTTAGCGACTGTTTTCCTACGCTCACGAGAATGTATAGGCTTCACCACGACAAAGTCCTACACATACATTTTAATAGTAAAAAGAGAGAGGGAGAAAGAGGTTTTCGGATAAAAATCAATAAGAAAAACACCGAAAATGTGTTGTTTTCCCCGATATCAATAATTATTCTGAAATAAAGCTTATCGGTGTTCCTTTAGATGATCGTCTGATCTGGCTGAACACTCGAAGAATTTGGCCAAAAAAATCAATAGAAATTACCATATCTATTTAGATATCTCGTGAAGGAGGTTCAGTCAGTGCCTTATTTATCTTTATTGGTAATAGATTGGCATTCTAACCTTGAGTGAAGAGTTTCAAAAGTTCGGCTGGGATTAAATAATATTATAAGCAACCTAAAATTGTGACCTTTGGAGAAATGTCTAATACCACTATGGAATAATGTTTTACAACAAAGTGCCAAAAGCAAAAAGTAAATCCTTTTGTACATGTTACGAATATTGTAGCCCAGAGTTTATCTGTTTTTTAAGTGATTTTATTGTACATTCCACCGTTTTTTTTAAAAACCTTGTATTTTTTATTGACGGCAATAAATTTACGTCACGTTAACTTGGGTGGGAAGGGAGGAAGGGAGAACCAAAAATTGAATAAAGACTTGTGTAGAAATAGTTCATACTCTTAGTGAGACACAGACCGCAAAATTGGTCTCTTAAAATTTCCATCCATTAAGATAATTGAATATTAGATTTGCACACCATAATATAACTTAAACTAATGAAAATTACCTTTACATATTTTTTATTCATTGGAATTATCAAGTCACACATTATTTTCTAATAAATTGGACCCTTGGGAAGACTCAGCACTTCTTAAAGCAGAAAAAGCGGTAAAATCGAATTCAAAAATTGTTGTTGAGTTGATCTGCTTCCCCGAGCTTCTGAAGAAATCATTCAAACAAAAGGTCAAAGAGCGAATTTTCTCACTCAAACAGAGATACATCATATATCAATCCAATCCCACCAAAGCTTTATCGTATAAGACAACTTCACCTTAAATTATTCCCCTTTATAGATAAATTAAATTTTCTAAAAACGGACCCTCGTAACATAAACCTCTCCAAGGTAACTTGATTTTTTACAGAAATATGTCTAACCCTTATAAATAAATTTCATACATACATATATTTAAATAGAGTGAGTAAAAAAAAATTGTATTATTTTGTTCCAGGTAAACGGCACGTGGGCCTTGCCGGGCTTCGTCTGTGACTTTTACATCGCAATGGATGTAACCTGCTCAACTTGTTCCATTTTTAATTTAGTCGCCATTTCTATAGATAGGTGAGTGCGATTATTATTTTTTTGTATCGGACTAAAACAGCATATCGATAAATCTTCGGTATCGATAACCGGGGTCGACCATTAATCCTTAGGGAACAAAACGGCAAAAGTGCAAGTTAAAAAGATGTCGTGTCCGCTTAATGATAGTTTTCGCCTTCTCTTTCGAAGAGAATCGGAGGTCGCGCTGCTCCCTTTTAAGGGTACTTAACAGTAAGTGGATATAAAATGGAAGGAAAATTAAAGAGGGAGGAAGTAATGCCCGAGGAACATGACGACCGTTTCATTTAATTTGATGTAGAAGGATAGAAATTAAAAAGAATATACCCTACATAAAGCTAAACCCCCTTAAGAACCGGGTTAGGTAAGGTAAAAGAAGTAATATAAATTCGTCGCTCGGCCATTAATTCTATCAATTTTATAGCAAGTTAATGCATTCTGAAAGCGTTGTAGTTCAAAGCGCATTGTGATTCGAAACTGGGTCGTCCTCATTGCTTCTTTTTTTACTACAACTTGAAAATATTAGTAGAATACGAAACATGATTCTGGGACCAACCGCAGTTTCCCGCTACTTACCTGTCGATTTAATTTTGATTATGGATTGACTCATGGGTCGCTTTAATGGTTGTACAAATTTGTTAACCACTGAACTATACCATAATGAAAATTATTTCCTTTATTATGATTACTTACTTTTCTGCTACCGTTAAAAAGTTGAAATCGAAATTGATAATATATACAGGTCGTCTTAATTTTAAACGGAAGTTATACGGAGCATAGCAAAAATCCTAACGAAAAATCGACTCAGGGGCAACTCGAGACATGTTTACGTCTAGCGAAAATCGAATCTATTTATCTCAGTCATAAAACCAACCACAATATCACCGAACGCTTATTTGCCGAACGTGAAACGCTATATGTTCGTTCCCCAAGGACTCATCCCTCCCATTATGTCACGGTCAATAACGTATTTCCGCTAATAGCATATACCTCGTATGCATTTACGGTAAATATGTTTTGGTGGGGCATTTTATGAGACGACAATAGTTACGGACGACCCGTTTAAAGGATTCAACTGCGTTTCCGTCGTCGGTTATTGTCGAAGGTTTTATCCTTGTTGATGCCATAAAACGTGTACTTCCAATTTGGCGCAGCGGCGTTGTTGTTTTTAACCTACATTGTGTACCGAAACGGCAATTTTACGAACCCGCTCTTAGCACCTTAAACTTAATTTGTATGCGGGATTATCGCCAGGCAATGTCTGTATTGCCAGCTAAAGTTTAATTCATCCAGCTTCGCGAATGGCAATTGCCTTCAACAACAAACGAAAATTGCAACGCAGATAGAAATTACTTAGTTATTAAAGGATACCTAACTGACTTTCCTCTACGCTCAGTATGATTTTAGCTGGGAACGTGACTCACAACTGAAACAAAATATTTAGGAATCTGCACATTGATAACGTCAGAAGACATGCTTTTTTGGTGAATTCACAAGAAGCAACCATACTCGCGAAAGCCGCTTGCAGGAAGCCGACAGAAAGTCGAACTGACAGAATAGAGAAACCAGAATATTCCAGAAACAAACAGAAAAATTGTGTACTAGAAACCTAAAAAAGACGATATGTTGAAAGATAAGATCAGAGCGTTCTTCGTGTTCCTTTAAATTATTTGGTTGCATCCTGTTTCAGCAACGTTCACCTTTCTATTCGATTTGATTGAACTGAGTAATGCATGTAATAATGGAGTAGCGACATTTACGAATTGCGTTGTGTAACCACAACAACCAAAAAAATAGCACTACAATTGTCAACCAAATACACAACCACTAGAAATAGACGCACATCATAAACTCGTAAGCTTTTGCTCGATACTGTCGGTCCTAATAAACAATATTAACTATTTTCTGAAGGACTTTATTGTGGGGAGTGATGTTATGGCCTAAGATATTTCGTTAAATATTTTAACTGCGTTATAGCTAAAAGATCTCTCGAAAGTTACCGAAGTATGTCTAATAACGCCGTATAGCAAAACAATGGCATGGTATTCAATAAGGGTACACGGTATTCGTGTGCCGCAGACACCTCGGAAATTATTTTTAGATAAAAATATATTTTAGTAGCAGCATTCAAACCTTTACTAGCAACAAAAAAATAACTGAGTGTCATCGGCGTATTGATGAGATTTGTAAAATGTAAGAAAAGTAGAGAAGTCAGCTGTATAAAATGAGGTCCCAGCATACTCCCCTGGGGAACACCCCCTTTCAAAGCAATAGCATTTGAATGAGTATTTCCTACAACTACTTTTTGATGTCTCTGTCTTTTATCCCGAAGTATTTCCAGTTCATCAGTAACGTGAAGCGAATCAGAAGAAGAAGCAACCTTTAATATGGCTGGCGACAAACTGATTGGTCCAAAGTCGTTAATGCCACTTGGACAATATTTCTTTGGAACGGGTATAATTCCAGCTTGCTTCCAACAGTCCGAGAAAAAGACACTTGCTAACAAGGAAAGCGATATGATCGACTAAATATGGAGTAGTTAAAAGAATTATTTTGATATCAATATTTTCTGAGCACTGAACGTTGGTTTTAATACTAATCAAAGTGTTATTAACTTCCTCGAGGTAAACTTTAGCGAAACGGAATGAACTAGGACCAAATTGTTTATTAGTATAATTTAAGACACAAAATCAGGATAAATACCAGCAATTATTGCCATAAATTTCATCCTTTAATGCTAGTAAATTCTTAGGTAACGTTTCACCCATGACAACTATGACCAAAAAAAGAAGTATTTTCAGGTATAAATTTCTCCGCGTCGATATTAACATATTTCAAATTTTGTTGCTCCGGTGCGAGTGTCGAAAACGTCAGCAAAAACACAATTTACCGCGGTAAATGTGAACTTCCTCGCGAAAATAGGATTTAATGGCGTGAGACAGAACAAGTCGAACCGAATTTGCGCAAATTCTTACCCCATTCTCCCCGAGAGAGCATTAGGAAATTAAAGAACCCTCTATTTCCTCTTTAAACGAGAATTCCCACGGGGAGTTGGGTTTTCTATTTATTTTTCTTTATATACGCCGGCGGTGGGGGTTATATCATAAGGCAATTTATGCGCCAGACCGAGTCCAATATCCTTAGTTCGCGACGATTGGTTAGTTGAACTGCGAATAGGTTCAGTGGATGTTGATGAGTAACGTTCCTAAAACTGTTAACGTTGAATTCGGCCGCAATCAAAGACAAAAGGTTTACGACAAAATACTATTTCTAGAAAGCTTTATGAGTTTCGCATCTTTTGCTTATATGAACTGCTGTCGACATTCACCCGTAAAACCTGAGGTCATTGAAAAACACGACAAGAGTCTTAGCGAATGAAAATTAAGTGTCTGGGCTGAATAAATTGGTCCATTGGAACCAATCTAGATCGTCGCGCGCCCGACAGAGGGAGAAATGAAAATAAAGAGAGACGAAGAGGTAGGGGGGCGAGAGAGAAAGCAATAGATAGAGCGAGAGAAATAAACGCTTGCTTGCGTAATCGATTTAGCGAAATTTGTGTCATTTGATAAACAGATCCGTTTAATTAAATTACTTTGTCTCGCAGCACGTCCGCGGGACGAAGCTTTTTGAAAATTATACCGACGTTTCTTGTTTGGGTCATTACGGCCCGTATACCGTGCTGATTACTTAATTCGGTTGTCGCATAAAAATGGTCCTAGTTAGTTGTTTACGTTGAAAAAGCCAGGTAACACAAATCAAGGTTCCACTTCAAAAATAATAGTCTCCACACTCTTTCCGTTATTCTCGAATACCGTAACTTTGTGACAAGTATCAAAACAACTTAACAAAGAGATAATTAAAACAACTTCAAAGTTCTTAATTTAAACACTGAAATATGGTATCACACATTAAGTCAATGAACCTAAACCCAAGGAAAAGAAACATTCAAAGTCAGTTAAAGAAACAACTTTAGATATAAAATATCCTAAAATGAAAATGACCCAGCAAGTTACGTGGCAGGTCGAATCGAGTAATTAGTAAATTCTGGGGAACAATGGACGAAGATCTGAAGAAGCCTGTTGAGACTTAGTTATCCCAAACTTTCGCTGAAAAAATGGATTTGCGTAATGATTACAGCTAAAGGTAACTGCTATGTATTATTATGTATGTATTATGTACCCAGATACATACCACAGTCAACCTTAGACCTTAGTAATAAATAAGAAAATGGGGCATATAAGATGGAAATATACTATAAATGACTATAACTTGGTGAGCAATCCAAGAGGGGAAAAAACTAAAAAAACTAAATTTTAGCGTATTTGATAAACGTTATACAACTAAACAGTTAAACTCCTCTTTCAGGCCATCCTTAATACAAATTCACATATTTCACCGACGTTACCAAACAAGGAGCTGTTGCTAAATAGTACTGTTATAATTTGGAGCGAAAAAATGAAATGAAGGGTCTATATTTAAAGATATGTATCGTATTTGCAACGAAATACGAAATGATACTAAGTACACTTCTCTTAAAATTGTCGCCGAGAATAGATTGTATATCACAGCCAAGATTACACGTGTTACAAGTTTTATTGGCTTTGATAGCCGGCATCCGCCAAGTTACAAGTGCACAGAAGATTTTGATAAAAGTGCATAAATGCAATAAATTTTCATTAGAACATGAACACTTTACCACACCAGTTTCGTTACATCGTGGACACATCTACCCAAAAACTAACGGTCTTAAAAAAAGTATGTTGCATAATATAATTTATATACAATATAGGATTTCCGTTAATATTTCTAAATATGGTTAAAACTCTTTATCTCCAAGGTTTCCATAATCTCGAGTGGATCAACAAATTCGTACACCTCATATGTGTGCCCGCAGAGGAAGAAATCCAAGGGCGAAAGGTCAGGCGATCTAGGATGCCATTTATTAAAGCAAATGCACTAAGCTTCCTCTAAAACATTCTACATGTACTTTGCTGTAGGTATAA